TAGTTTAGTATTTTTGTCATTATTAAATAAATTTATGTTAAAATCTCCACAGATTGCGATTGTGTATTTGTTAAACTGTTTTGTTAATTTTTGAAGAAGTTTGTCTAAATGTTTTAGAAATAACTCTTTTGAACCAGAGCATGGCCTATATATGCAAATTATTGCGATTTTGTTAGTTTTACTAAATACACATGAGCATTCAATAATACCTTCTAAATTTTCCTGTTGTAGATCTGGACCATCCTGGTAATCAGTATTATTTTTAACATATATATTGGATCCTCCACGAGTTTGAATAACCCTACAAAAACTGGAGATTAATGAATAGTCCTGTATTATAGCACAATTTATTTCTTCCTTTGTACACCAGTGTTCAGTAAAGCATAATATATCAGGAGATATATTTAAACTAGTTAATAAAACGTTTATTTCGAGTGTTTTACTTTTTAAGTTTTGTATGTTTTGATGTATTAAACAGATTGTCTCTTTTGTGGTTTTATTTTCATTGGTTATATGCCTGATGTTGGTTCTTGTGCTGTTTGAAAATTTGTCTTCATGATACCTTTGTTATGCTCTTTTGGAAAGTAATACCTGCTATACCCTATTCCATTTGGCCAAAAATCTGGCTTATATATAACCTCCAATAGGTCATAATCAGCCCCAACTTTAAAGCATTTTGTTTCCGTTCTATTCACTTGGACTTCTTCTACAATAAATTCCCTTTCTCTCAAGTTCGGTTTATCCGTTAAAAATTCAATAATGTCATTTTTTGAGACATCCTTATTTACTCTTGATATGAAGAGCCAGATCTTTTTTGGTGTACCTTGAAATTTTTTATCCACCTTATTTGAGCCATAATTTATCTTCTTTTTTTCAATTGTTTTTTTAGTTGTCTTATTTTCTAGTGGAATGTCGTTGTTTATATTGATCAATTGACTTGTTTTTGTTGCCTGAGCATTGGCTAGTTCTTCATAGGAGGTTTTGGTGATCGTACTATATAAATTACCTTTATTGGTTTTGTTTTGTGTTTCAGTAAAATTTTCCTTTTTATTGTTGTCTTCTTTTTGATGTGGTTGAGTTATGGTTTCCTTATCACTTTTTTTTATGTTTGTTTTTTGTATTTCATGTTTAAATTGATTTTTACCAAGCTTCTCTTCCTGTAATGTTATTATTTTAGTTTTATCACTTATGATAATGTTTTTGTCTGAAACTTGTTCCTTTAACATGGATATTTCTTTTTCTAGATATTCAATTTTTAATTTTAGTTCATTGACATCTTTCTTCCTATAGGTGTTGGCAGTGCATTCTCCGCATCGAAAAAGCATCGTTTTCTTTTTAAGTTCCATAACTTTTAGTTCTGTAGCAGTAAGTTCACTGCATGATATACAATTGACCGATCTGCAATCATCACAGTTAAAAAGTTCCTTGGAGCTCCAGGTTTTCACACATTTTGAGCAGGTGCTCATTTTAAGGTTAGGTCCTTCACTAAACTATAGTCTTTGTCCTTTAATTAATGTTTCTAAATACTACTTTTTTACATTTTATAGAGATCGCTTCAGTTGACGTACAAAAAATGGAGCTATTCCTATCCACATTTTAAGAAATAGCTTGTTGCGAACTACATGTTGTTATTACATATTTCTTGTTTTTCGGTTGGTTTATCTATAACGTCTAGGGTAATATCCAGTTTTTCATTTAAATGTTTTCTATTAACATGTCTTTTAAAGCTGCTAATGTTTTGAAAGCTTTGTCCACAATTAAGATCAGTACACCCTACTAATGAATTGGTTTTTATGTCATGATTTCGTTTAAAAATTTAGAGAACAGATGTTTTTTGCAAATAAAACAAATCATTTTTACCTTAATAAAATAAAAAAAAACACTAGCTTACCTGTATTTGTTGTCAAGAAGAGTCGGAATACATAAATTGCACGACGCGCCAAAAAAAATGCAACGATACACACCCACTCGTTTAATAAACTAAACTAGGAAAGGAATCGGAAAACTGGGTCAAGCAAAAAATCAAAACTTAAGGAAAAGGGGTGTTGCTACGAATTCTGGTTGTTGTCTCAACAAATTATTTGAAATATGTTAGTAAAAGTTATATTAAAATATAGAGTGATGTCGCGTAATAAATTTCGATTGTTATCACAACAAATAGTTTTATAGCTGTTCGTAAAAGTTTTTAAAGTGTGCGTAAAAATATGATACCAATAGGAATAATAATAGAAACAAAATTTAATTGTTATAACAATGAACAAAGATTGTGAATACTATGAATCACGGTTGGTTATAAAACAATTGGGATTTAATTCTATTAACAATCGCCAGTATCATCATCACTTCAATTTCTGAATTTGTACGTAATATTAACAATAAAAATTGTTGTCTCAACATATATTGGTCAACAATTACCGATTGTTAATATTAGGTACAATACTTTTTTCAGTGTTGAATACAAAAATATAATAAAAAATAAGAAAATAACTGTATTTTTTAAATAACATTTGAAGTAATGTTATTAAACACATTTAACAAATTTGCTTAAATAATTATAAAAGTAATACATGAACAGAACCAAAAAATATATTTTTAACCTACATAAATATTCAAGACATGTTTATTAATTTAAACAAGTAAGGGTATCAGCATGTATTTCATTTATAAATATAATAACAACCGACAGTATAATTATCATAGCAACAATAAATGAGGAGTATGCGTATGCATACGTGCAAAACCGGCTAAATCCATTTTATTCAGTTTTTGTTTTTTTTTTGATTTCGCATCTTTGGTTTCATTTCCATCAACAACCAAGATAATTCTATATCCATGTTAAAATCACATTTAAAAGGTAGCTTTAGGAGCACAACCGGCCAAATCCACGTTTGTGACTTGGATATTTCGATACTATAGTATCGAAATATCCAAATTTTAGTAGTATACTACTAAAATTTGTTCTGTTTTTTCATGTTTCCACTAAATTTATTTTGTTAATATTTTTGAATAATAAAGGTTTTTTTTCACATTTTATTCGGTTTTTGAGCAAAACCGGCTATATACAAAACATTTTTTTAAATTTTGGACTTAATATAAAGTTTTTGAAAACGAAAGTATGTCTTATAAATCAAGTACCACAAAGCCCACAAAACTCAAATTTGCTTTTTCTTTTATCTGTAAAGGACAGGAAACCGAGAGTTATTGCCATTTTCCCAACATTTTATTAAATTGGATATAGCCGGTTTTGCACGGATGCTCCTCAAATAATATATTATATATACAAAATATAGAAAAATTTGACAAGATATAATCATCTATCCTTGTCCCACCGGCCGGTCGCGGCCTTAATATCGCTTTTTCACTACCGTAAATACGGGTGACTTTGCACCCCGCAGGTGACTTTAACCCATTTATTAAAAATCTTTTCGCGCTCGATAAAATTAACATTTATAATTTGTTGGTCTAAACTTGTCAATTGAGCGATTCTATTGAGTTTATATTACAGGAAAATCAGTGTTTTAAAGAAAGAAATGGGATTTATTACACTTTAAAATTGTATATATCGTATCAGTGCAAAACTCTTAGAAATACACGCGTTACAATTTCTATATTATGCGCAATCCATTGGAATGATGATCCTTGGTTAACTACAGGTCGATTTTTTATTTTTTTTATTGGTAATCCCTTGCAATAGATATATGTCGCTGCTAACACGTGTCTAATAAAAATAAAATATAATATTACATTCATTTTATACTGAAAAAACACTGTGAGACAAAGTAACCCGCAACCAGGGGGTAACTTTGCACACCCAGTTTTTAATGTTTATTTTTGAAACTCAGCCCTATGTAATATTATAACATAGTTATTATGAAAGAGCAACTCAAGACTCAAATTTTGGTATACAAAATTTAATGTTTATGATTGTTAAAACCACAAAAATTTTAAGCTGAAGTTTGAAAGTGAGCCAAAGCCACCCGTGTTTACGGTACTTGAATATGTTTCTGACATTTTACCAATAAAAATGTCTTAAAAAGTCTTTACATTCCCAAAATTTTATGAATGTGTAGACGTTTAAAACACGTTTAAACGATACAATGTCGCAATACACGAATCATAAACTTTGAATATTTTAAATATGTCAAAATGTTGACATTTAAGCAAAAAAAATAACTATTTTATACTTATAATGACATTCGAATATTCTGTCATCATAGATATAAAAAAATAACATTTTTTTATTACATAGTACTCTTAATAATATATTATCTTGTTATGAAGATTATTTAGATTTTGTAAGTACATTTACTTGTATACTATTTGCGGAATTTTAAAGCATACACTATCTTATAGAAAATTTAGTATACTACCTTATGCTATAACATTTTAACGTTGCATGATCATGCAGTCACAAGGTAAATCAGCTAGAACTCATGAACAAAATCGCCATAGAATGTGTTTGATGTGCACAATGAAACCGAAAAAAAAGTATTATAAAACTACAGGTAAAATAGGAACTGAAATCAAAAGGTTATTTCCTGATTTTAATATAATGGATTTGCGAATACCTGCTGTACTTTGTGATGCTTGTAGGCAAGAGCCAATGTAAATACAAGTTTGAAAAGTTCACTTCAAATGCCGGACTACTCAATTGAGTTAAAGTACCATTTAAAAATGAAAAGCCGCTCATCAAAGACAGAAAAAGAATGTGAATGTGAGTGTATTTTATGTAATAAAATTAGATCTAGACAAGGTAATTTTGATGCAGTCAATAGTGAAAAAAGAAAATCTCTCAAACCGCTGAAGACGACAAGTAGGCGATGCACGAAGTGTTTTACTTTAATAGGTAAAGGGGTAAGTCATAAGTGTAACTCAACTATAGTTGTATGTATACATTCCTAAAAAATGTTCGAGAAAGTATCAAAACCCCAAAGCAAAGTGAACATGGATTATTAGCAAAAAATAAATTTGAAAATAAATTAAATAGTAAAGCAAAAAGAATGAATGTTGCACTATCCCTATCGCAGCAGCGTGGTAAGCCATTAAATATTATCGTTAATGCAGAGAAAAAACAAATACGTCAAATAACATCGGATGATTTATGTGACTTGCAGATTGATTCAAATTTATCTGATCGTCAGGTACGTGATTTTTCAAAATTTATAAGAAAGAAATCATGTTCACGAGATATTATTAAACCATATGCCCGAGAAAAAAAATTTCAAAAGTCCCACAATTTAGATAAATTTTTTGATGTGAATTCATTTGATTTTGAAATTTTAAAAAATGAAGCAGTTACAAAACTTCCAAGCTTTGCTGTTGTTTTTAATGATTTGATGCTGTTGATAGAACATATTATTAATTCTAGGGATATTTTCAATTTTGGTATTGATAGTGGCGGAGGTTCTTTGAAATTCACTTTGTCTATTCAATCAAAGAATGAAGATAATATATTATATAACATTATAACAATATATTATATAACATTATAACAATGACAAAAACACTTTAAAGAACTTTAAAAAATGGAAGGATACTGGAGTAAAAAGGATATTTGTCATTGCTCTTGCCCCAGATACACAGGAAAATTACAACAACGTGAAACTTTTGTGGTCAAAACTAAAAATAAATGACTCTTTAATTGAATATCCTGAGACAATTACGACGGACTTAAAACTTGCAAACATAATTACGGGTTTGACAAATAACGCAAGTTATTGCCCATGTATTTGGTGTGATGTCACCAAAAATAATTTAAGTTCGTGTGGTACTTTGAGGACAACAAATAGCTGTCTTTCTAATTATAATAATTGGTGTGATGATGGAAGAGTAAAAAAGAAAGTTAAAGATTTTAAAAATTGCATTAATCCACCTTTGTTTTATTCAGATGACGATAAATTAATTTTGGATGTAATTCCTCCCCCAGAGCTGCATCTTTTATTAGGCTGTGTTAACACTCTTTATGGTAGCATGGATAAACTGTATCCCGATATTGCTACAAAATGGGCACAGCAAAGTAACATTGAAAGAAGTTACACCAATGGTGGTAAATTTTCATTTGCAGGAAATGCATGTAATGCATTACTCAACAATGTTAATAAACTTAAGTTTATTAACATTGTTGAATTCAGCGGATTTGCGAAGTTAACAGTGGAGGCCTAGCGGGTTCCATGGAGTACGTAGATGTTTTCAGAAAGTTTAAAACAGTCGTTGACGACTGTTTTTCACTGAAGTTACGGCCAGATTTTGAAAAAGATATTGGAGAATTTAAAAAAAGTTACGTGTAGTAGTGCACACAATTTTTTATCACGTAGCACAATTTTGTTCAAAAAATCAGATGGGCCTGGGATTTTTTGGAGAGCAAGCTACAGAATCTGTGCATCATGATTTTAACGAAAAGTGGAAAAATTATAAGGTATCGAAATATAACAAAAATTATACGGCGAAACTTCTTCGAGCTGTACGTAGCTACAATAGTACACATGAATAGATATATGCATAAGCTTTTTTAAATTTCTTTGTACTATTTATGTATTAACATTAATTTGAAGGTTATTATAAAGGGATACAGTTATTTTGTTATTTGTTCTTATATTTATGTATTGAATAAATGCTGATGCCTAATGAAATTCTATTTTTTCATTCAAACTCAAATTTGTAAAAATCGGCCACGAAAATTGATTTCAAAAACTATATCAAAATATGTTTAATATATCTAGGAATCACAATTAAAATGAATTTTGAGGCGACAACACATTTTCAATTAAACTTCCTTCTGGCGAACCGTGAAATGTTTTTGTCGAATATTATATCATATGTTAACATATGATTAATATTCGTCAATAACATTTAACAGATGTTTAATTTGATAGGTTAAAAATTTGATGACCCATTAAATCCTAAAAATTGTCTCTAGGGCAATAAAATATTACTTTAATTAAATTAGTTTGTTAACATAATGATTTCTTGTTGTGGAAACTACACAGTAAAAAATATGGATCGAGTAAAGTAGCTAGTGTAGTTGGTAAATATTTTAGAGTTGATATTCAGTGTAAAATGCACCAATTATTTAACTCTATAGCTTAATATAACTCTACATAACTCTATATTACATTATTTGACAGTGTAATAATAACGTAACTCTAAAAATATTATATTTTTTACTCGAATGTCTAATACAATCGCATTAGTGTTAATTAAGACTTTGTAAAAGGTTACACATTTACACTATAAATTAGTATTTTACAACTGCTATTTGCGTTAAAATTTCCCTAGTTTTCCTCTTGCTAGTGTATGATTGTTTTGGATTAGAGTAAAGTAGACAGTAAGCGAGTATAGTTTTACAATAAAAAGAGTTAAAGCTACACTATTAGGGTTATTATTTGTGGTGGGGATTGCAAAGCGTCTATAAATTTGTAAACTAGTTTAGTGCTGTTTCCAAGGGCTGTTTAATGGTTCGCTTGTGCGAGGGTGCCGCTGCATAATACGTATAAAATAGGTACATTATTTCTTATTATTTATTTTAAAGATATTTTATTGTAAAAACTTGGAATGTGATTAGACATTATGTCTAAATTCCCATTCAAAATGGATGCATTGATTTAAAAGAAACATTTGTTCGAGTTAATTTAAATATTTTAATTATAAATTGTTTTTATTTTTATGTTAACATTAGTTAGGTATATAATTTTTTTTATTTTTGTTAATTTTCACAAAATATACTTTTGAATTTAAATATATGTTTTTAATTTTCCTCTCTTTATAGCAACTAAGGATAGAGTAATTTTTACTCGATTTGAATGTAAAGTTTACTAATAAGAGTAAAAAAGTTATGCATATTAACTAAAAATAGAGTAGTTTTTTTACTCTAAAAGATTAAATAACTCATTAATAAAAGTCTAAATGTTATAAAAATAGTGTAAAATAATACTCTAATTAACAAAACTATTTTTTTCCGGGTCACTACCCAGAGTTCCCTTAACAAACAGTAGTGTTAAATTTATACACTAGTAAATTAAATGTAACACTAAATACCGTTATAATATTTACCCTAGAAATAAAAATTATTACACTATCATCAGTGTGAATATATAACTCTAAAAAAAGTCGTCGCATATAGAATGTTTTTAGAGTTTACTAGAGTTAAATATCTTCACTACTTTTTTTACTGTGTAATGAACCATAACATTCCCAACACACACAGGGGTTTAACACACACAAATACAAATTACACCTACAAGTTTATTATTTAAATCCAATCAATATACAGGAAAAATATAAGGTAAAATGATCTCTATCTGGTTTCAGATGGTTTTATTGACCTTTTTTACTCTTCTATGTATGTGGAGATATGTAATTGCGGGTTATTATCTTCGTGGAGATCTATCAAAATTGTTGATATAGGTATTATTAAATATAATTATGGTTGTAAGATTTTTTTGTTTTGAATTATTTTAATTCATTCTTTATTACTTTTTTACGAGTAATGAAATTGGCCGTAAAATTTGTGTAATTGCCTATGTAATGATCTTTTTGCGAGTTAAAGTAACCTCATTTGCCATCTGCTTAGCGTTTGCAAGTAAGTGCAAGAGTTTTTGACATTTTTAAAACTACTTTTTTTTAACTAATATCAGAGAATTTAATTTAAAGTAGCTTTAAACTAAAAAATTTACATACTTCATAAAATATACTTTTATTTAAAATTCAAAATATTGCTTTTAGAATTTGTAAATTAATAATAATAATAATAATAATAGAAAATGTGTTTATACCTAAATCATTTAAATTACAAACATTAAAAAAAATAAAAAATACTGTGCATTTTAATTGATGTTGGCTTTGTTTAATTAGCGGATGTGGAGATATACAGGGTGTTAACGAAAGGGTGTAAAAGAATTTACCAGGTAGTAAAACTTCATAAAATATTTTAAAAATGTTATATAAATAGTGTACTAACTAAGCAGAGCTGGGCACGAGTACTAAAAAAGAATTCATAAAGTACAATTGTACTTTATTATTAATAACTCAAAAAATTTACTAGTTAAGTACTTTACCTGTAAATACTTTTGTAAAGGGAGTATACAATTCCGAGTAGTACTCCTAAAACCGCAAGTAAATAATACGAGTAGCTTAAAAAAACATGTATTGGTTAATATGATTGCTTATTACACTATAAAAATACCTATGTTTATAATTATTTTTTTTTATTTTCTGTATAAAATAATAAATAAATAAATTAGGGTTTATTCTTTAAAAATAAAATAAAATAATATTCTTTGATACAAAAACACTTCTTAATTAATATTAAAATAAAAAAATCTTTGGCAATAAATTATTGAACCATAAAAAATTAAAAAATAAACTGCGCACCAGTCAATGTGTCGCGACTAAAAATTTCGTCCTTTTTCAAAACGACATAACTTTTTGGTTTCTTGAACGATTTTATTTTGGTTTGTGATGTTTGCTAGCTTCATTCTCTGGAAATTCATGGTATAGATATGAAGCTCACGGTTCTTCAAGTAAATTTCCTACAGGGTGATATGTAAAACGGTAAAAAATTTCAATAACTTCATCCAAGCCCCGTTTGTAAAATAAATATTTTTTTCTCGTTTTTACTTTATAATAATGAAGTATTATGTCTTACTTTGAAACATTTTTCAAATTTTTCGAATTGGAATCTAAGTAAGGAAAATATGATTTTTTTGTAGGCAATACACTCAGCCTTTATAAGATAAAAAAGATAAGAACGTGAAAGATTGTTCCTTGAATAATTCTGAACAAGTGACAAGCAACAAACTTCCATTAATTTCAGAGGAACCTAAGCAAATACCACTTTTTTAATATGACATTTTGGAGAAAATTTGCGAAAACTAAACCTGAACCGATATTTACGTTCTTGACATGTTTGCTTTATAATTTTGACCTCCTGATGTGATTCAGTTGTCAAATTTAAGTTTTAGATAAAATCAAAATCACCAAGAATCAAAATTCGAAAACAATTCCCGGCTGTTAAATGTTTCAATAACATGCCTTTGCCAATGCCATTTGGGAATTTATTTTTTAGGAGAAATTACTGCAATTTGTTTGAGTGGTTAGGAAAATGTTACATACATTACATTTATATTGTGCACTTGTGATAACTTATTACTGATAAGTACCTACCTAATTGGTAATAAAGTTAAATACAAAATTTGTTTGTTCATTTTTGAAAATTTTATGCGAAGATATAATCTAAATAAAAACTACAACATTCAACAGAAAAATGTAACAAACAATAACAATAATAACTTTCAATATTTCGTTGGCCCTCCCCTAACCCGTAATAATTCGTTAACCCTCCTGGGTATTCCCTACACCAAGTTCCTTAGAAATTCCTGGGGTATGGCTTCCCATTCTTCCTGAATCGAATTTACCAATTCTTCCAAATTTTCCATGCGTCCTTTTCTCTCTTTCATCTTCAGTTTCATCCTCCTCCACACATGCTCAATAGGATTCATATCCGGAGACAAAGGTGGCCAATTCATTCTCTTAATATACTTAAATACTCATTTACGATATTAGAGCGATGCGGACGGGCATTGTCGTCCACCAACACCAAATTGTTGACATGATAATATCGTACTAAAGATGCAAAATACAGTAAAAAACAGTACAATCCAGCAATCAGATTTTATTGAGAAATTTAATAGCCAGGAATTGTTTTCGAATTTTGATTCTTGGTGATTTTGGTTTTATCTGAAACCTAAATTTGACAACCGAATCACAATCAGGTCAAAATTATGAAGAAAACATGTCACGAACTTAAATATCGGTTCAGGTTTAGTTTTCTAAAATTTTCACCAAAACTTTATTTTGAAAAAGTGGTCTTTGCTTAGGTTCAGAATTATTGAAGAAACAATCTTTCACCATCTTATCTTTTTGTTCCTAAAAAGGCTGAGTGTATTTCCTACAAAAAAGCATCAAATGTACTCCATTGAAAAAAAAATCATATTTTTGTTGCTAAGATTCCAATTCGAAAAATTTGAAAAACATTTCAAGGTAAGACATAATACTTCATTATTTCAAAGTAAAAACGAGAAAAAAATATTTATTTTACAAACGGGGCTTGGATGAAGTTATTGAAATTTTTCACTGTTTTACATATCACCATGTAGTAAATTTACTTGAAGAACCGTGAGCTTTATATCTATAGCATGAATTGACAGAGAATGGGACTAGCAGACATTACAAACCATATTAAAATCGTTCAAGAAACAAAAAAGATATGTCCTTTTGAAAAAGGACGAAATTTTTGGTCGCGACACATTGAGTGGTGCGCAGTTTAATTAGATAGATAATTTCTTATAACCACGAGTTTTTCAAAGTTACCATCAGAGAATGCATTCCTTCTTGAACTATTAATAATTGCACTGCAATTATTGCAGCAAACGAAATAATCTCTCTACACAGAAAAAAATCTAACATAGTACCAAGAACAGCGCTGTCATTGAATGCATTAAAATTGAAGCAATCTAAATTGTTATTTGCTCAATTAATTACTATTAAACCAAAATAGGGAAATATTTTGCCTAAATGTCAAAGAATTTATTGGATTAAATGTATACATAATATTCATACAATAGTAACGTTATTAAATAAATTAAATTAGTATTTAATGCAATAACATTCTAACATTATAACAAATAAATATCAATATAAATATAAATAGATTTAGGAGCGATTACTTTTGTTGTTAATTTAAAAACAGTAAGCGATTATAAACCAAGTGCTAACTACCTATTGGTATTATAGGAACTGTTATTCAGGAATACGGATTACAAGATCCCATTGATTTAATGGCTCACCCATTCATGCTATGCTAGCGTTTTTTCTGTGTACAACTGCAAAAGATGCCACGTATTATATTTTACAAAAGAATTGTTATTGTTTTATAAATATATAAACGGAGTAGCCACATAAAAATGCACCATTATTGTAGTAAACATAAATAGAAGTAAATTTAATTTGGCATGTATCTAAATACAATTATTATATATTTTAAATAAAAAATACTTTTGACTACAAAAATACGAGTTAAACTACTCAATTATAGTCACCGCGGCGAATATTTTCCGTTGCGTCAGCAATTTGTGAACACAGACACAGACATTAAAATTTAGTGCTTTCTTTGTATACGTATGTGGGATGTATGCCGGACGTATATCGACAAACCGGCTTTTACCATTGAAATGAATGACGCAACAGAAAACTTTTGCCGAGACGACTATACTAAGTGAACTAGAGTCCTTTTAAAGCCCCTTTATGTTATTGTATTGCAATAGTATTCATTGTTCATGACATGAACTTCATGTATATTAAAAATCAAAACCAACTAAATGACGATGCAAAGATCCTGACATATTTGCGAAAGTATTTTTCTTTTTAATTTTTCATATCCCCTAAGGCCTCCAAGCGGCGAGGTTTAACAGCTTTTTATAATTTTTTATTAGAAAAAAAATAAATGGCGTTGGTGTTGTAATCCCCTAGATTTCGTTGAAAAAATCGCAAAAAGCCCTATAGAAAAATCTATAATAATTTTGGTGATGAATTCACGATGCAAGCTGCAATGACATACATTAGTATTGTCTGTCACCATTAATTCACTCAACGCTGTCACCATACAACTATCAAGGATGGCAATTGATTAACTTGAAGTTAATAACTTCATTAATTTAGTAGCTAAAGCCGGTGAACTACATTACCCTCTGAGGGGTTCGTCTACTCTGCCTACGACCTCATTGACCCCACATTTTAAGAAAAAACCTGTTGATTTTGGATTAAAAAATAATAAAAAGTAAAATTATGGTTTTTTTAAACCATTCATTAATTTGAACAGTCTTCCATGTGGTTTTGTCTTTCGGACCTGTTCGATTAAGGTATCGAACTCATGCATTTTATTCGTTTTTATAATGTTATTTGTTTTTATAATGTTATTTGTTTTTATAATAATTTTGGTGATGGATGCACGATGCAAGCTGCAATGACATACATTAGTATTGTCTGTCACCATTGATTAAGGTGTTCTTCTTCACTCAACGTTGTCACCATACAACTACCATAAGGATGGCAATTGATTAACTTCATTAATTTAGTAGCTTCAGCCGGTGAACTACATTACCCTCTGAGGGGTTCGTCTACTCTACCTACGAACTGAGCCGCACTCATTGACCCCACATTAAAAAAAAACCTGTTCATGTTGGATGTTAGAAAAATAATAAAAAGTAAAATTATAGTATTTTTTAACCATTTATTAATTTTAACAGTCTTCATTGTGGTTTTGTCTTTCGTATCTGTTCGATTAAGGTATCGAACTCATGCATGTTATTTGTTTTTATAATAAATTTATATCTTGTCTAATATCGGCATCATCAAGTATTTCATCTATAAGACCTATAACTTTTTGTCGAAATCTGCGATTTTGCTTGTCTGTCATTTTCATTACATCCGGCAATAAACTACGAAAAAAGGACATATTTGGCTCTTCCTTTTTAAAATTGTCTCGTTCTTTTTTGTTTTCAAGCCACTCCAGCAAAGAATCGTCAACAGGGTTTGAAGATGATGAAGGAATTTGAGTAACCTTTTGCTTCTTTGGAACACTAACTGCTTGTGACTGAGAAGGTAGTTCTTGATTTTCCGTATTTTCTGTATTCTCCTGAAATTCACTATTATCTTCTTCAGAAGTCTCATTGTTATCAAAAAGTTCTTCCATATTTATAATTGTAGTTTTTCTTTTAGTGTAAGGAAGAATAAAATCTAAATAACCGGCTAAGTAATATGGTTTCTTTGTGCTGGAACCGCTTGATGGCTTTTTTAGCGACCTTAGATATGAGGTTCTAATATTTCTCCATCGTTCGCGACAGTTGGCCACTAAAAAATACAAGTTTTTACTTAGTATTAATAATATTTTGTAAAACTAGTAACAAATTTTATTCAGTGCAAAATACCTAAGTGAAATATTTCTATAGCAATTTTTTGAATCGTATTATGTCCTTTTTAAGGTAGTATCTTCATTTTAAGTTTAATAAATAAAACAGCTAATTAGGCGGTGCCAATGCAGTAAAAATAAAACTTTGTAACAAATTTATACTTTATTACAAACTCAAGTAATAAGAAAAACTAAAAAAATCATAAAAAGTAAATATGTAACAATATTAATTGTTAATTTGTTGTTATAATGATAATTTTATAATGTTTAAAACTATCATATTTTTCTGTTTCAGCACAAAATTTAAAATGAAAATTTTAAAAAGGGAAAAAATATCCTTTTTTTATAAAAATTATATTTTAATAATCAATTTCCAAGCGATCAAAGTGTTTGATTGCTCGGGTATGGTAAATTTGTAGGTTATGGTAAATTAACCTTAAAATTGACATTTGACAAATTCATGACAGCCCTAATAGAATAAGGTTGATTTTTTACATATGACGAGTAAAATGGTTGTCCTTAGCACATGAGGCTTACAAGTGCCTCTGTAAAAAACACAACTTTTAAAACGATATTTAATCTGTATACTCTCTAAACATGAATTAGTCAAAAATGACTTATTGTCCTAGCGAAAAAGCAGCCACTAATAATTCTCAATAGCAATTTATATCCCAAACATTTAGCAGTTGAAATTCAATGTAAACTTGTCCCCTGAATCCGAAAATTTTGTCAAAAGTACAAAGTTTTTGAGATATAGTCAATTTTCCATATAATATGGAATTGACTATATCTCAAAAACTGCTCTACTTTAATAATTTTTGAAGATATTTTCGGATTCAATTCAATTCAATTTCAGAACAACTAAATTCTGTGTAGTGGGTTGCCTACCTTTGTAATTTTTAGTATGCGCGAAACAAGATAGAACAGTATGAGGCGCCGTTTGGGCCAATATAAAATTAGGTGTTTATATATAAATTTTCATCTTTGATTGAAAATATTCTTAATATATAGAAGATTTTAATTGTGTGATATAAGTTCGCTTGTGATTGATTTATTTTAAAGCCTCCACAATATACCGTGTGCAGTGAGGGCGCCACTTCGATGGTCATAAGCATTTTCATCTTTGATTGAAAATATTCTTGATATATAAAAGATTTTAACAGTGTGATATAAGTTGGCCTGTGATTGATTTATTTTAAAGCTTTAACAATATACCGTGTACAATGAGGGCGCCACTTAAATGTTCGTGAGTTATTTAACATTGCCCGTTATTTATTTTATTAAATTAAATTCATTGATACTTTAAAATATTAAAATAGCTTTAAAATATTATTATGTTAAGAAAATATTTTGTTTTTTTATTCCTATAATTGCAAAATTAAAAAGTAAAAAAAAATCTTACACGGGAAATGTTAAAGGTACAAAAAGTGACACTTGTGTTTGACTTTACCGCAATCAAAACTTTTCCGGCACTTCTGTTACTAAAGTCTGGACTTTCCTGAATATTTTGAAGAATTATTTCGAGATTACGATTACTGCCACCGACAACAATTTAATTTTGATCCAAGGCTAGCGGAAGAAAGTCTGCATGTACTAGAGAATCATTGTTTTATTTTTAACACTTTATTGGAAAACATAGTGCATAGCATAGAGTTTAGTAAGCGCGGGAAAAGTTTTTTTTTTTTAAGTTTTATTGGCTTTTAACGGGTCTAACGGTACCGGGTTCGATTCCCGGTCACAGCCCTGGGTGTTGTGATTGTTTATTAAGATAAAATATACATATAATGTGCTGGCTAAATAGGTTGAAAAAGCGGGAAAAGTTTTAATTGCGCTAAAGGTAAACACAACTGTCACTTTTTATACCTTTATCATTTCCCGTGTAGGATTTTTTATTACTTTGTAATAATATCTTGCAATTATAGTAATACAAAAATTAAAGGATAAAATATTTTCTGAACAAAATCATATTTTAAAGCTATTTTAACATTTTAAAGTATCAATAAATGTTAAATTTAATAAAATAAATAACGGGCAATGTTAAATGACAATTATTTCAAAAATGTTTACAAACATCAAAGTGGCTCCCTCACTGCACACGGTATATTGTGAAAGCTTGAAAATAAATCAATCACAAGCCAACTTATTATATCACACAATTAAAATATTTTATATATCAATAATTTTTTCAATCAAAGATGAAAATGTTTACGTCTATAGAAGTGGCGCCCTCACTGCACACGGTATATTGTGGAGGCTTTAAAATAAATCAATCACAAGCAAACTTATTTCACACAATTAAAAATTTTTATATATCAAGAATATTTTTAATCAAAGATGAAAATTTATATATTGGCCCAAACGGCGCCTCATAGAACAGACATTATTGTGTGAAATAAATTTGAGAAACAAAAGCTTAAAAATTCAATATTATTGTTTATTTTTTAAGAAAATCTCATAATCGAGCTTGTGAGATACAAAATACAAAAATGGCATATGAAAACAAATATTACTGAATACCTATGTCTCACAAAATCATATATTAAATTTTAAAGACATTTCTTAAAGACACTCTTAAAATAGAAAATGCTTATTATTGATGCAAGATTTTGAAATGCCATTTTTCATTTGCGAACGAAAGCAAGGGACGAAAATGAAAAAAAAATCGCACTAGATAATCTTTAGATATTTGATTGCGAATGTTAAATTTTTTCGAAAGCTGTATCCCACAATTACTAAAAATGTAGAGGGAAAATTTTGACAATTCCAATTATTTTATTTGACATGTATGTCATCTACAATTTGCTGCACAGTTTATATTATAATAAAACACGCGTTTTTTTAAATCTTGAGGTAGAGGCAGTTTATTTAATAATCATTGGAATTAAATAAAAACATTAAACATGTTACCAGAAAGATCTACAACTAAAGTGTGCGAAGCAACCAGAGATATATATCTATATCTCTGAAAGCAGCCGAAAAGTGCAATGAATAGAATTATCCCAACAACTCGATCAGGCAATGTGAGTCTGCTTACAAATATTGTTTTAGGTGTAAAAGAATTTTACGTGGTGGGTACAGTAGCGTAACTAGGGGGGGGCGGGGGGGCGGTCCGCCCTGGGCGGCACTTCTTGGGGCGGCAAAAATCGTGAGAGAAAATGCGAAAAAAACTGGAAGACAGAATATAAAAATAAAAAAAATAATTAAATATTCTCTTTCGAAATAATATAATTCAAATTCCAATAGATTTGAGATTTATACAATTACTCCCAAAATATTCCAAATCAAATAAAGCTAGCAAAAAATAGAAACAAGACCGGTATTGTTTTGTTTATTAAGAATGTATCTATTGTTTTTTTTTCTAAATATTTAAACATTTTTATTTATTTTTTACTCAGGTTTAAGTTTTTTTGTAGGTACTTTTACATAAGGTTGAGAATTTATCTCTTTGTTTTTTTCATATAAATTATGTTAAAGCACATTTTATTTGTTGTTTTTCTTTACCTAGGTCTAAGAATTTTTGTTTGTTTTTAATTCTTAAAATATTACAATTTAATGTTATATATATATATATGTTATATATATAATTATATATTTTTAATTTTGCGTACGGTCCTCAAAACTGACTCCTAACCTAACCTCTCTTCCCCCCCCCCCAAAAAAAACATGAGGGCGACAGCCACTGCTGCCCCGGGCGGCACTTTTTCTAGTTACGCCGCTGGGTGGGTATAGATCAAAACTGTTTTTTACACTTAATAAATATCATACACCCTTAATTGGTTAGGTATTGATTAAATAAAGTAGCCAATAACAGGCGTGCTTTACCAGAACTACTAGATGTAAGACAAACTAAAAAAAATGTCAGAAAACTTAACCTATAATATAAGCCCGCGGATGGGGTAACAAAGAGTAAAAAAATATTTTACAATTCTCAAAAAATGTCATTGATTTCAAACCCCCAGAATACAATCGTATGTCCAACATCATTTTTAGTATAGCGTCTATGGCTAATTTGCAATTTTGATTTTTCTGATTATTTTTTGACGTTTTTAAAAACCAATAGAAAATTTTAAATTCACTAATGTGTGTATGTTTTAATCAATCAAAAAGTACATTATAGACCAGGCGGAGAAAACACACATTATCGCCGAGCATAGATTATGTGCTTTCGCTGCCGAGTTTTATATGTTATTTAATTAAATAATTTTTTTACTAATAGATTCAACTGACTTGATGACAGTTTAGCTTTATTTAAGTAAGAAGTTTAATAATAATTTGACTTTTGAACTGGTATTACTAAATATTAATAATAATATGAAGTCTTTCTATATAGACTTATATTTTATAATATAAATATTATTGTACGCTTGAACAAACAACATTATCCAACGGGTTAATTTTTTATAATTTACTTTTAGTTTAATTTTATTTCAATGTTTTTTTCATGGATAACTTGACATAATAAATTTTTGTAAATAGTATACTAATTATAATTATTGTGCATTTTTGATTTGGCTACAAATTCGTTCCTACTTATATAGTTATAGGGTCGTTTTAAGGGGTGGTAAATACAGTGCCGTGCATAGATTTTTGTTAAATCGTCAATATGAATTCTTAAAAATATTCACTCAAACGCAACAGACATAGTAGCCTACTATTAGTAGGCCTTATATTTTAAAATAAAGTTTTTCTTTGCTCCAAAAATACTGTGAATCAATTTCTACACTTTAAAACAAATCCGGTTAATATCGAACAATAAATAAAGATTTTACAGGGGTGAGTCGCAAACAAATGGTTCACACTGTATAATATTATTTTTCCATAAATTCGTAGATATATTTTGTCGTTTACCAACTATTTATAATGCAGTTGTCGGCGTTTTTTATAGGACTCAAATATATGTTTGATTTTAAGGTTTGTACAACTAGTTTTTTTGTTAAATTTACAAAAAATATCCAAACTTATATATTAGGTAAAATTATCATTAATTAAATCTTCACCAACAAATATACTTACCGAATTGGATCCTTTGGCAAAACCTGAAAATACAAAGATGTAGGAAGGACCCCCTAACCAGTTTTGCTCATATTTTGGTTATTTTTTCGAAATAATTTATGTTTACGTTATTAATTATTAACAAATACAAATCGTCAAAAAAAATTATTTATAACGTAAGGAACACATTTTTAAAAAATTAAAAAAGGGTCTCATTATCCACCGCGTCGGGAAATGAGGACCCCAAAGTAAACCTGCTCTCTGTTTACAGAAATTGCATGTATATGCCGATTTTTTTGCTTGCACCTAAGCATTCGGCTTACGTCCACTCAAGACTCCTGAGTCTTGAGTCAAGTCACATTACACATCTGTAGATGCATCCTCGTTCACATTTAACGCTGCATCTGCTACAGCTTCTTAAGGCTCTTGTATAGTTTCAAGAGGAAAAGTATTCAAAAGTTGGGTCCGGCTCAACTTAAGGGAATACGTTTCTTACGTGAGCCAATCACATGCCCAGTAAAACGATATAGCGCTATCTTGTTGTTTCACTTTTATAGATAGATAGGCAACCCAGTCTACATCGATCTTTGCGTGTATTAAGTTAATGTAAACAGACAACTTAACAGACGTAGGTTTCTTAAGTTAAGTTAAGTTAAGTGGATGTGAATGAGCTTTTACTCTCTTGTGATTTTAATGTTGAAAATTTTGGACCGACAATTTTTTTATAGAAATAATTTTCTTTCGTTTATTTGTCATTTTCTTTTTAACAAATTAGAATTTTCCATGGATGACATTAATTTTTACTTATGAAAAAGTTTAGACAATTTATAAAACTATGGCGCGCCTTTTTGGTATTTAAGTTTTTAACGATATCAAGTGATGTAAAAATTAATAAATAGCAAAACGACGCGTGGAAAATCAATCCAAATTACTATTTAGTCCATGGATAATACCTAGGCACATATTTTTGGTATTTAATATGCATGTTAAAATTGGTAACTTAAATAATTGCAATTATCGAAAAGAATATTTTTTCTGTGCAAATTATTATTTTAAATTCTTATCCTATTGAGTGGTACATAAAATACGTTTATGCACGATGACATTATAATATGACAATTATAACAAAAATTCTTTGACGTAAACGTCTTTTTATAGCCCGCGGGCGTTATTATGGCCCAGCGGGCTATAATGAAATGTCAAAAATTAAAAACAACAATGTTACACCATTTGATATATTCGAAGTAAGTTTTTTCGTATAAAGATTTTGATTTTACCGGCAGCAGGCCGCAATTTTTCGCCTTTTCAGCTGCTTCCTCAATTTCATTTATCTTTAAACTTTAAAACTGACTGATGTCAGTTGACATTATAATATGACAATTATAACAAAAATTCTTTGACGTAAACGTCTTTAAAAACAATAATATATTAAAAATAATAATATATTAATCGTGCATAAAGTTTTGTATGCATTGCTGGCATAACTGGTCCTACGACGCTTTTCTAGCCCTCGCGCTAACGCGCTCGGGCTCGAAATAGCGCCTCGGACCATAAAAACCTTATTATGCCCTTAATACATAAATAACTATAATGCCTTAAAGACTCATGTAATGTTTAATTCTGTTAAAAAGCTGAAGATTAAATATTTTTTTACCTTGTGGATCTACTATTTAATACTCTAAACAAATATTTAACTATTTTTTATGTTAGACGTATAACGACAAAATGTAACCGAATTTTATAAGTAATATTTACACAATAATTTTTCATTTTAGTTATGAAAAAAAAAATTTGTACAGCATCTTCACTGATAAATAAATGATTTTATTCGGTCCCAATTACTTTACTCAATACATTTGAAAGAGTGTTTTAAAAATTAATGTATGCAGCTGTAAAAATTATTTAATACCAAGGATTTTTTGCAGGAAAATTAATTTTTACATGACATGTGATGTAAATATTATTTTTTTGCTCCACATGATGTGCATAAATGAATTTTTACATCACATGTGAAGTAAAAATTATTTTTTTCGTCACATATGATGTAAAAATTATTTTTTCCATCACATGTGGTGCATAAATGAATTTTTACATCACATGCGATGTTAAAATTATTTTTTCCATCCCATGTGGTGCATAAATGAATTTTTACATCACATGCGATGTTAAAATTATTTTTTCCATCACATGTAGTGCATAAATGATTTTTTACATCACATATCATGTATAAATTCATTGTGATGGTACTACTGTGTTACAATAAATAATAGTAACACTCTTTCAAATGCATTGAGTAAAGTAATTGGGATCGAATAAAATCGTTTATTTATCAGTGAAGGTGCTGTACAAATTATTTTTCTTCGTAACTAAAATTAAAAATTATTGTGTAAATATTTCTTATAAAATTCGGTTAAATTTTTTCGTTATAAGTCTGATGTAAAAAATAATCAAATATTTGTTTAGAGTATTAAATAGTGAAGCCACAAAGTAAAAAAAATATTTATCTTCAGCTTTTTTACAGAATTAAAAATTACATGAGTCTTGAAGGCATTAACGTATTTTATGTATCACTCAATAGGATGAGAATTAAAAATAATAATATTTTGCTTTACGATAATTGCAATTATTTAAGTTACCAATTTTAACATGCATATTAAATACCAAAAAGGCGCGCCATATAAAACGGCGATAAAAATTGTATTTTTGTCAATAAATAAAGCTTTAACTCAAAATAGTAAATTAACCATGGACAAAAAAATAATGTGTCTCATATTCTGATGGTTTAAAATCAAGCAAAAACTTTTATTACGAATGACATTTTTTGAGATGTCAAACGTTTTTTTCCTTTTTGTAACCTCATCCGTGGACATAGGTACTGTAATGTGACGCGATCCGACAAAAGGGACTTAGGGATCAAAAAATGATAAACAAGATTATGATTATTTAAGGAGTGGTACGATCTTTTGAACTTGAGGGTGGCATAGGCGTTTGTGTAGTGATCACTACACAAACGCCAATGCCGCGCGAACTTCCTTTTCTCGAATCGCGTCACATAACTACAGGGTTTACCAACAGCGACTTCTTTTTTGGTTTCAAAATAAAACAAACAATTTGAATGAAAATGCTGTGAATCTTTATTGATATATAAAGTGGAAGGTTTGCCATTTATAAATGAAAAATAATATCATTCAAATGCCCACCCCCAGTACGCCTACATACATCGATTCTTTTGTTAAAATTTGTAATCACATTTTGGCATAACTGAGGCTCTATCTCACGAATGGCACGTTCAATGTTGGCTTTTAACGCCTCAATGGTTAGCGGATTATCCGCATAGACTTGATCTTTCACATAGCCCCACAAGAAATAGTCCAGTGGTGTTAAATCACAGGATCTAGGCGGCCAATTTAATGCAAAGTTACGCGAAATTACTCGATCTGGAAATTTGGTTTGCAATAAATCCGTTGTTTGACGAACGTAATGGTCGGCCGGCTTCAATTCTTGAACCAACTGTACCTTATAAGGTTTTAGAAATAAATCCTTACGCAAAATTCGCCATTTGGTCATCGTCGATAAGCCCAATTGTTGAGAAGGCCGCGGAATGGGTAGATTTAAATTTATCCACCAAATTCCTAATAGCGTTCTCAGATGGCCGACCATGACGGCCAAACATATCACGAATTTTACGATATGTGGTTTTCACCCAACGACCATTCTCGTTATAGGTTTCGATGATTTTAATACGATTTTCGATTGAAATTAAAGGCATTTTTACAAATGGCACAGCTTTTACTGACATATATCAAAAAAGTAATTGTCAAAGCCGTCATCTTATCAAAATTTGCCCCTATTGAAAAAAGAAGTCGCCGATGGTAAACCCTGTACCTATACTTAATATATTTTTAAAAATAGCTGCCACCAGCGGTAAAAGACAATGCTTTTTAATGCGGCTGACCTAAAGGACAAAATGCGTTTTGTTGGTGGACATATCACTTACAATTTGACAAGTTGCTCCTAAAATAGTTAAAAAATCTACTGCTATGTAATGTACATGTAATGTACACGTGTTTTTTCTATCTATAACCGTGCAAAAAGTTGTAGAAAAAATATTTTTTTTACAAATAGACAATGATGAACAAAATTACGAGATTCCTTTGCTTGTAAAAAAATATTGTACCTAACACGCGGGCCTTTTAAACACTTTACTGATGACCGAACTTCGCTATACTTCGTATGCGCGTCGTTCGTTTAACAGTAGTTGCGTGCGGAAAAGTTTCCGCACTAGTCAGTTATATAACTATATTATATTATATTGTTACCTGAATCTTTCATTTCCCCTGCCACCTCCTTCCAGACCTTTTCTATTATGTGTCTTTTACTGTATTCAGATAAACTGTAGTTCCATAGGCAAGGGCGATTCTTTATTAATTGAAGAAATTTAATATTAAATATCGGGTCATCTGTGTTAACATGGTTCATTTTTGAATACTATTTTGTTTTCGACTTCTAGTTGAACCACGCGACTTTAAAAATAAGGTATGCAACAAACGCTGCGTCGCAGTGACTGCGAATAGACTGGTATACCGCGTTTGGTTTTTGTTGCGAGACGAGTGCATGCGCTGCTTCGATGAGCGATGTATCGTGTTGCTGGTTGCGTGTTGCATGTTTTACTTCAGAACGTCAATATCTGAACAAATGAATAAAAATATCTCTGCCTTAGAGATAACAACAAATAAATATAAAGGTAAACAGTATTAACTCAATTTTTGTTAAATTCGTAGCTAACACTAAGAAAAAAGAATCTTTATATGAATATATATATATATAATTTATTATAATATTTATACTTAAAAACTTTTAGTAAAATATAATATATACAAATATATACAAATATATATATATATTAATATAATATAGGTACCTATATTTACTAATACATTTTCGGAATATGATAATATTTAATGGAAACTCACCAAATAGTTGTGGTTTATTTCACAGAAAATTACGTAAATTGGGCAAGTTAATTATTATTAAATATAAATTTCATATATATGGAAATACAATATAACTTTAAAGCAAATATTTATAGTGTTACACTTACAGTAATAGCCCCGAGGTATGCGTATTTCGAAACGTTTTACCCGAATACCATTGAGTAAGATGAGTAGGATTCAATGCGAATACATTAACTTTGTCTCAGCAGTGGTATATAAAATATTCCGTATATTACCTATTAGGTATGCGAATTTCGAAACGTTTTACCCGTGCCTGTCTAGCACTATTCATTATCCTATATAATGTGATACTAGCTGCGTTGCTAATTTTCAAACTCAATTAAAGCTAAATTGACCAGCTCCACGGTGGGTCAAATAGAAAATATTTACCCCATTATTGACAAGAGGCAACACTGTTGCTAATTTGAACCAACTGACTCAGTACTACCTAGGGAGTAGGTATAAGTATTACTTAGTAGTAGTGGAAATCTAAGAGACCTTGGCTTACCCCCATGATACAAAGAAATCTTTGTATCATATAAGTGGCTAGGCAAAGCTCACGGGAGGATTATTTCCCGTGCGTTATAAATTTGACGTAAAGCTGGAAAGCTCAGATGGTAGGGCAGTCGCTTAGCATACGAGAGGTACCGGGTTCGATACTTAGAAGTGGTCGAACTTTTTTATTTTATGAATTTGTTGTTTCTTTTTTAAAAAGTGTTGGGCTGGGTTGGTTGGTTGGTTTGTTTTAGTTTTATCGTAATATAAAATCTTAAAATTTTGACGTTAGCGTGAGAATAAAAATTAAATTGTGTTCACGTTAGCGTAAGAATAGATATAGAATAGATACATTCTATAGTTTACTTTTTTTGTACACCTTTTTGTCAATTCTCGTTTATTGTGGCAACAGCGCATCAGTCTAAACTTCACAGCACCAATTCCTCCCGTAAGCTTTACCTTAGGGCTTGTTTGTATCATGGCTTACCCCCTTAAAGGCACGCCTAGAGCACGTCTGCTTAGAATTTTTTTGAGGCAAAGAACGTCCCGTGCCGCTGGGCTGGCAAAGTAAAGCGATCTGCCTGATAATGGATTTAATAAATTATTTTTTTTTTAACTAAATAAAAAAATCATTACAGAAAAATATAAATATATAGTATACAGGGTGTACCAGAATATGTGCGCAATCTCCCGGATTCAAATAGAACACATAAATAAAATATGACAAGTTCCTATAATTTTATTCCCACGGCCCCCTCTAAGGAGATACGGGCCTATAATGGACGCCCCTGAAAATCGTTTGTTTTTAAATAACTTTTGAAGTACTAGGTGGAATTTAATATTTTTTTTAATATGTTGGTTACAAGGTTTTCTTAAAATGGGCACAAAAAATAATTTCTACATTTATGTGTATTTTCCCCATTGAAACCAATAGCAAATAAATTAAGGGTGGATATCCCTATAGAACAACCATAAATCGCAACTATGGGTCCTATACTTACCGATACACCCTATAGAAACACCATACATTCCGATACAAATATCTATCGGTTTAAACAGGGTCTCTATAGGATATTTTAAGCAGGGATATTATTTTAATGTTTTCTAACTAAATCCAAGAGATTGCCCACCTATTCTGGAACACCCTGTATATATATAGTCAAACTTAAAGCAAACATTTTTGTGAAAATATTAATACAGTGTGACCCATTTGTTTGCGACTCACCCCTATAAAATCTTTATTTATTGTGCGATTTTAACCGGATTTGTTTTAAAGTGTGATCTTGATAAATTGCATTTTAGGAGAAAAAAACGCCATATTTTTATTAAATACAAGGTCACCATGTCAGTTTTTAAGAGTATTTTTAAGAATTCATATTAGCGATTTTTTTAAACAAAATCTAAGCACGGCACTGGATTCACCACCCCTCAAAACGACCCTATGCTAAATTTTATTAAAAAATGTTAACTTAAAAAATGCACAATAATACCTAACTACAAAAATTTATTCTGTCCAGTTATCCATGAAAAAATTTAAAAAATTAAATTAAACGTCAGATTTTTGCGGGTACCCAAATTGTGTATTTGTAATCAATTTTAGTAATTGCTATATAGCTATAATTCCATGCTCGGTAAACAATATACTTAAATATTTTCTTTTAATAATTTTAAAGTTTCCTGTTATGCTCGAAATTAATTACAAATATAATAAAGAGTATCTACTATATATCTCTATAGACGTTTAATTTACTGTCATGCAGATTGTTGAATAAAGGACGCTATGGCGTTCCATAAGTAAATGCGTACATTTACTGTTAATTGGCATTGTGTGTTGGGTTGGTTGCATGGTTGGTTTTGTTGGTGAGGTTGGTTGGTTTGGTGCGTTGGGTTGGTTACTTTTAGCTTATGTACCCTTTTGCAACCTTTGTGTACTAGTAAGTAAGTAATTAAGTTAATATGCTTTTGAATAAATTTACGTATCAAAATCAGTTGTATTGTATACATTAGATAGTCTGTGTATACATTTACGAAATTTACACATTGACTGTATCATACACAGGGCCGGCAGAAAACATTTAGCCCGAGTGGGTAGTTAGGCGGAGAAAGGGGGTCCCCCACTCAGCTTTAATTTCGAGCATTTAAAATTTTGAAAAATCAATATTATAAAAATATATTGAAAAATAAGGAGCTTTAAAATGTAACAATAGAAAGTCATAAATAACAATGCATTTTTGTAGATTAACAATTTTTATCTAAAATAGCAAAAACAGCCGTTCTTTTTTATTGCGAACAATAAACTCATTTATTAGAGTATCCATATTGAGTTTATCTGCTAAATCAGAGAAATAATGCAAGATTGCTACGTGATTTAGTCGATTTTGTGCCATTGTTGATCTTAAATAATTTTTGTAATGACGCAAAACTGAAAAACTTCTTTCGTTGGAACACGAAGATCCTGGAATTGCAATTATTAATTGTAGAAATCGCATAAACTCCGGAAAAATGTTCATGTAACATTTATTTTCCGAGTGGGTATATACCTACTCAGGAATTTTTCCAGTGGGTAGTAGTACCTATACTACCATGGTCTTCCGCCGGCCCTGATACAGAGAGAAAAAAGAGAATTCGGTGTCTTTTCCTTTAAAAATAAACAAAATATGTCAAAAACGTAAACCAAAAAGTACTCATTTTTCAACTATGCCTACAAGTTATTTGCAACTAACCAACTCTGCTGTCACCGGCTTAGTTAAGTATGTGATAAATCGGTTTCAGAAAACTTTCATTTTATTGATTGGTTCTCCCCTTTGATTATTACACTAATTGTATCAATCACTTTTCTAGGTAAATTCACTGATATTGGAATGTTTTCGATATTTTTTAATTTAATTTAATTTGTGCACGGACCATAACCTGTTTACCCCCTTTAGTTTATTTCTTTGTGAGATATCCCAAAATATATCCCAATTTTCCATCCAATTTATTTTATTTAACACCCATTTCATTTCTTAACTTAACTTTAAATGTTGGGGGAAATTTTTTTATTTTAATAAAATAAATAATAAAAATTTAAAATTGAATAAAGTCTGCACCCAATATTTAGATTTTTTAAATAAAATTTTAAATTTGTCGATAAATTATAGTAGATAATAAATTGCAACACATTAATTTGAATTATCTCAAATAGGGGGGCCTGGAGGCGGGTGAGGCCACAGGAAAAACTAACTTTTTTCGCAATCTTCAATTTAAATTCTGTTTGCGCCGAACTTGTTTATTTAATGTCATTATAAACTATTATAAATTTGGTGTGGGTCCCATGTCTAATAACTGAGATATTGGTATACATAAAATCCACCAGCCGCCACTGGAAATAGCATTTCTCCCACAGGCTGAAGTTGGCTTTAAATTATATTATATATTAATAAAAGTAAGGTTAAATTTCGCGTTTTACCTCACTTAAATGCGTCAAATTCCACGCTCGAAGAATTTCCTCTTTATTCCAATAGTCGCACAATATACTATTATTTAACATACATTCATTTCTGAACTTTAACCAGTGAGCAAAATGTTACTACGCCCAATAGTTGGCAAAATAGCATTTCGCCCACGGGCTGAAGTTGGCTTTAAGCTAAAATTGGAAAATAGTGAGGTTAAAATTGCTTTACAGCTATCAGATGTCAGATAAAATATCAAATAAAATTGGCTTTAAATTCCTTTTAGTAGTTGAATAAAATATTGTGTGCGCTCGAGGAATCTCCTTTTTTACCATTATTGTCACACAATATAGGTACCTACTATTTTGATATATAAATTAGAGTGTCTCAAAAAAACCGACTATTTTTTTTTCCAAGAAAAAAAAAGCATAATTTTAAACATTCTGAAGTTTGAGGCTCGATATCTTTGAAACGGCTTGACTTACGCAAAAAGTCAATCAGACCTTTTTTGTAGAGCATTAAATTTCCTATAAGGAGTAATTTCGTCATACTTATAAAGTAGCTCGTTACAAAATTCCAAATTTGAAAATAAAAATTTCCCATGTTATTTAAATGGCAAATAGAAAATAACAAAACGCCACATCTAAATATTAATATTAAGAGCTCTTACTTTTACAGGGTCATTTTCTAGAGATACTCTGACGAATTTTTAATGTTCTTTGGAAAAAAAAATAGTCGGTTTTTTTGAGACACTCTAATATAAATATGGTGTTACTCACAATCCAAATGTGTGGATTGTGGTGTTACTTAAATTTTAGGTTAAATTAAGTTATTTTTTTAAATCATGTACTTTAATTTACTTTTAATTAATAAAAAACATAAGTCTTGCGGATATTTTTATTTCTGTATTTCCACCATTAAGGTTTGTTTATTTTTATTTTTGTTAAGTGGCCGTTAAACGTGTTTAATACGGCTCCATTATACAATTAATTTAAACACCTTTAAAATTTTTATGATTTAGCGTAATCGATAATGTCCGTTTGAATTTATTTAACGACTCTGGTAATAATTTCAAGGATTTAATATCTCGGCTCCAAAACACATAAAATTCTTTAGATTATGAACATGTCACTTTGGGATTTTTTACTGCAGAAATATTTTTAAAATACCGAGCGCATATGAATTCTCGGGGAGATAATAAACAGAAAATTAGTCTTCGGCAGTTTCAGAGATAGCATTAAAGATAATTATCTCGTAATATTGAGGGTAATTGCGAAATCTGTAGGACTTAATGACTCCCCACATAATTAAAAATAGCTTGTTAGATAGGTTTTATGATTGCGTTTTTATTAATTAAAAATTGCAATAAGTATTTATAAAATACATAGGAAATTCCTATTAGGAATGCAAATTCAATTCAAAATGTATTAAATTTAATCCGGATTTCGGACAGACCTTATAAATTCACTTTAAAATACAAAATAAACAAAATCCCGGCTCCAACAGGTGTCTGAGTAATACAGGTAGCTGAAACTAATTTTAATTCTTCCCTCTCATTCTTTTAACCACTCTTTTTCTTAAAGTTTACTGCACCGTTACCAAAATAATCATATTCAGTGGCGTGCTACCGGTCTGGGGTTCCGTGGTAGGTAAATTATTTGGCAATAATATTTGCAAAACATATTATTTAGGGACTAATAATTAATTATGTAAAATGTGTTTATTATATTTTACTATATATTTTCCATACACAGTGCCGCTCGGGATTTTAAAAATCCTTCCAAAAAATATTTATAATTTTTATTGCTTTTTATTAATATTCCATATTTATTTATTTCAACTATACCTAGAGGTTATATCTTTACTGATTATATCAAGGATTTTTTATACTTTTTCAGAAACCTTGTATTCCCAGAGACCACCCCTGAATTCTTATCAAATATTTGTAACCATATTTTCAATCAACAGTTAACTATGATTTCGCTGCAATTTCAATATACGATTTTTTTTATTTTTTTAATAAATATTTTATATAAACACATAATTTATTAACAAAACTGAAGTTTTTTGTTAATTGGACCTAAACTTTGGCTCGGGCCATAACTTTATTTTATTGTACAATAGTACCTACATTGATCAACGATTAAGAAAGTTGGCCGTTTCCATGAGTTGAACACTACTTTTTTTAAATTTTATTAAACATTTAGTATAATTTTTTGTAATTACCATAACCACAGATGATACATGACAGTGTTAATTAATTTTTAAGAAAATAATGAATAGTTTTCAGTATGGTAACTTTGGCAGAAATGTTTACTAATATCGCCTTTAAAAGATTCACCCTATCAGACCACATTACCACCTTGTAAAGCTCTTAAGCTGACTGGCAAAAGTATACGCTTATTAAAAAAATGTCCCTAATCTGGTCGTCAACTCAACCAAAATCGCAAAGGGTAAGTTGTATTATACAACTTGTATAGGCTTATAACTTATAACCCTATTTTTTACAAAGATCTATAGATTTAGCTAAAGCTAAACGCCCAAAGGATAGGCAACCCATTATGGCGAACAATTTTTTACTTTATTTCTGTTATTTTTTTATTATTTTTAATTGTTTAAACTTTAATTTTAACCTTTTTTTATTGTACCACTGTTGATTGAGATATTCACTCTTCACTCAACGGTACGGAGAAGTGTTTTGAATACTGTACCCCCTGGATAAAATGTCACATATGTGTTGTATGATCTCTATATAGAGACCATGTTCAAACCGATAGATTTTTGTATCGGATTGTATGGTATTTCTATGAATAGGACCCATAGTTGGGATTTATGGTTGTTCTATAAGGATATCCTTCCTTGATTTATTTTCTATCGGTCTCAATAGGGAAAATACACATAAATATAGAAATTACTTTTTCCCCATAGGACCTCATAGGTTTTAACAAAATTTTGTAAAATGTTATATGGTTGCTCTATAAGGATATCTTTATATATCCTTTCTTAAGTTATTTGATACCGGTCTCAATAGAAATAAGTGGAAATTATGGATATAGGTAATTTCCTATAAATTTTCTATCGGGATGTATCCGGAAAAAGCATGGACAAATGCACATATTGAAACCGGTAGCGCCCGATAGATTATTTGTATGGGTCTCTAAAGGGTATTTTAAGCAGGACGTATTTCAATAAACAGGTTTTTGACATTTTAAATTGATGACGCAACGGAAAACATTCGCCTAGACCACTGTATTGGAAAAATACCAGTGTCTACAGGCCTTTAGACACTGGTATTTTTCCAATACAGTGGTTCCGGCGAATGTCCCCGTTGCGTCATCAATTTAAAATGTCAAAAACCTGTTTATCGACATACGTCCAGCATACATCCCACATACGTATACAAAGAAAACAGCATAATTTAATGTCTGTGCTTGGTTCATAAATTGATGACGCAACAGAAAACATTTAACGAGACGACTATACATGGTTAAAGTTATAATGAGATGCCTAGCCTTCAGGCGTTTAGCTAGATCCTCGTAAAAATATATAATGATGTTCTAATTGAACAGTAGGTAACCGCAGCGAAAGTGATCAATTTTATCCACAGTTTAAGACTGAGCCTCTTTCTCAGTTAATATACTATGTACAAAATTCTTAAACATGATTAGAAAAGAAATATTATCATAGAAATATAGTGTCTACCCTGCTTAAAATACCCCATAGAGACCTATACAAAAAATTCTATATATATATATATCGGGCGCTACCGGATTCAATATATGCATTTGTCCATGGTTTTTTTCCGGATACGGCCCGATAGAAAATGTATAGGAAATTACCTATAGGCACACCATGACTTTTACATTTTCCCTATTAAGACCGATAGAAAATAACTCAATGAAGGATATATAGGGATATCCCTATAGAGATACCATAAAACATTTGACAAAATAGGGTCCTATGGGGGAAAAACTAATTTCTACATTTATATGTATTTTCCCCATTGAAACCAATAGCAAATAAATCAAGGGTGGATATCCCTATAGAACAACCATAAATCGCAACTATGGGTCCTATACATACCGATACACCCTATAGAAACACCATACATTCCGATACAAATATCTATCGGTTTGAACAGGGTCTCTATAGGGTATTTTAAACAGGGTATGGAATTGTAGGTATCTACTAATGAGGGCCAACCTTTGCTAAATTTAAAATCATTTACTATATACATGGCATTTTTTAAACTTTTTACCAAATAGTAAATTATTTTCAATTTAGCAAAGGTTGACCCTCATTAGTAGGTACCTACAATGGGGGACACGGAATTTTTATCGAATATAATTCCGTTGACATCAAAATCTAAACTTTTTTTATGGAACAACCTTACTTTCGGTTATCATTGGTCTTGTCATTTTGACAGCGAAAGCAAAAATGCTCAGTATTGTAGGTATCTTTGCTATTTACAGATTTATTTATTGACAACCAAATTATGTCGTTCAACATTTCGTGTCCTCCACTGTACCTATATTCCAAAGAAAATTTTATGGTGTGTGGTGGTTAAGTGAATCTTCAATCAACGGCTTTTATTAATTAATAGCCTTTTAAATTGCTTGTAATTATATTATTTATAATGCGGTAAAAATATAAAAATTGAAAGGGTAGATATTTTTAAATTTTTATAGGTACCTACCAACACCAATCCTTTTTATTCTACAATAAAGGGGTATAAAAGCAAAACCAGCAATCTCCACTTTGTTAAATTTTTCAGGACAAACAATTTTTCTACAAGCTCTTTACAAAAAACGCAAAAAAAGAATTAAAATTTTAAGGTTGCAACGTTCTAGGTATTGTTGACAAAGTGGAGATTGCTGGGTTTACTTCTTTATCCCCACAGAGTATGTGGCACAGATCATTTATTCTCATTAGAAGAAAGTTTCCACTGGAAACAGAAAATTAGAAATTTAAAAAAAACTAAAAACTTAAGTACCTATATAGGCAACTAATCGTACAGATTTTTAAATTTAGTTTCGATAAATCCCCATTAGATGGCCATTTAAATAAAACATGTTTTTGGCGGCGTATAATTAATAAAATGTTTACAAAAATTATTGATAAGAAAACTACAAGTTATTTTCTTAATTAAAGAAAAGAAAACCTTTGTTTTTCTGTTTCTCGGAAAGCGCCACCTTTTGTTAAAATGTTTTACTAACGAATGACGCTACCAGCGCCATTTTGAAAAATACTGTAAAACATGTTCCTATTGTTTTCAAAGTAAAAAATAGTGTTTTTTATAGAAAATAACAACGAATGTAACTGGTGGTGTACAAATTGGTATCGTTCTTTGGAAAATGATTTCACCTGTCAAGAAACAGAAGCTGTCAAACAATACTAAACATTCTACAAATTGTTTAAACCAAGGTAAAGAAGTGTAACATTTGGCATTAGGAAATAGTTAATTGGATTGTTTTTAGGTGAAATTAAAGACAAAGCAACAGGAGTACACGCAATAGAGAAATACAGAATTCATTTACAGAGAGCCAAAGTACTGGCAGCAGAAGTTAAGCTGGCTTGTAAAGAAAGACGGCTGAATTGTTTATAAAGTTAATTTAAGTAAGTGATGCATTCATTTTTAAATTAGGTATATTATATGTAAGAGCATATGCTCTTATTTGACTTTTTTATCTAAACTAAAACTCATCTGCAATAACTTTGGACCAATATAAATATTTCTTTCGACTTGTCGACTGCATTATATGCAGGTCATATGATTAAGCAATATCATTTATCAGTTAAAGCCGCTTTACACGATGCAAGTTTAAGGCAATGCAAGACACTTGCAAGGCCTTGCGAATGTCTTGCCTGATCGTTTACATGAAGCAAGTTTGGCGCAAGAGATGTTAAACGTCAGTCTTAATATAATATATTATGCAAGTTATCAATGAAAAAAATAACTATAATTATATGTTTGGCAAGTTTAAATACAAAAAACATACAAATTATACACAGTATCACAATACAAAATAAAAGAAAACAACTTAAAACAATAAAAAGTTACCAGACTTGCATGGAAAATAGCACAGGTTCTATTTATTTCGTCTTGCAAGAGTGTTGCCTGGGCGCATGCGTACAGTTACAAACTTTTTTGCAATGCTCTTGCCTTGCATGAAACTTGCGTCGTGTAAAGCGGCTTTTAAATAAATCAGTCCTTGGTAATAGGTAAATGACAAAAACAATTTTATTTCGTTAAATTTTACTATTACAAAATCCAATTGTTGTGTTTTACATTTAAATCATAGGTCTATGATACAAGTGACTTAAATATATACAGTTTTCTATAATCCAAAGAACATTAGCTTTATGTTACATAATATATGATCCTTAAGGAATAGTGTATCATATAATGATACACTATCCCTTAAGGATCTTATTGGAATGCAAATAAAACGAATTTTTTTATAGTTTTATATGTGTATTTGCTTAATTTTTATTTAGCAAATTTTTTTTTTAAATTGAAAACAGGGTAATGACACCAGTAATTTCCATTATAAGCTAGTGTTTACACAAAATAGCTAAAAAAGTACCAGAAGAAATTTAGATTTTGTCTAAATAAAATAATAATAGATACTTATAGAAGATCACTATATTACTAAACATTAAAAATTAGACATCACTAAGTACAATATATATATATTTTTTATTGGGGTACAGAAGACTAGTAATTGCCATGACCATTTTTTAAAAAACCAGTAGTTTCCAGTGTACCTGGCCAGTAAATGCCTCTAATTTATTTTATTAAATAAAACAAGAAAAATGGTACCACCTTGACAAGCAGCCACTGCAGATTCTTTGCTTTCTTGGGAATAGCGAAAAAAGGGCTTGTTTTTTGGTTCCATGTTGATCAATTTGGATTTTATACCTGGATCAATAATTGCCACTAAAGTGAACCAGTAATTGACACTCCAAAAGAGGTGAAAATTACTGGATTCTCTTTGAATATGATGTTTTTTTAATGTCAAGGATAAATTAAATATTATAGCTTAGTTTAGAGGTTTAATAAAGGTCATAATACGATAATCCAAAATTCTCCAGTAGGTAATTACCACAAATGGCAAATATTGGTTTAAAAGAAAAAAAATGCTTCTGTAATCAAAATACTATTTTAATTTAACGAACAATTTATATGCGTTTCATTTAAACTACTTAGCGTATATGCCTATTGCACAAACAAAACTCAAATTGATTTACAACATATGCCAATATCACGAAAAACTAATCTTACACTTTCTTAACCAGTCATAAGAAATATTTTATAAACAGCTGATTCAACATATTGTCTGAATATTTTTTTCCTGTCGAAAAATGCGCCACCTGGTGACAGTTGTTGTAAATACATAATACACTAGATACACTTCCATACACATAGGGAGTGCGTCACACAGATATTGCATATGTTTTTGATAGATAGACCTCCAAAAAATAGGAAGATTCAATACAGGAAATGTATATCTCAACAGCATAACAGAGATATAGGCTGTCAAAGTTAGAATAAAAAAAATAGTTTTTTCTTATAACCACGGTCTTATATACAGGTCTTGCAACTTCGCCCAATTTCAATAGGAAAAGTGACCTCTCTAATGAGACACCCACCAGATGGCGCATCGAGTTGAGGGTGAACCATAGATGTTTAAAGGTCGTTTTTACCTTCTTTATCTTTGGGTTTTACAATCGTTAGATAAGCTCTCTGGTGGATAATTTTCTTAGATAGAAGGTTTCTATGAAAGTTATCCGCCAAATAAGCTAACTTAATCTAACGATTGTAAAACCGGCTCTAAGTCCTTAAAGTCTATGGGATAAAGGTCAAATGAACTACCTACTTATGTTCTGTGAAGAAACATAACCTACATTTTTATAAACAAGCTTGTGTATTTTGTTAAAGGGAGTTTTTACTTATTGTTATTGTGATATTCGTTATTGTTATAATATATTGTTCTATTTTTTCTTGTTATATTTGTTCTTGTTATACATTTGTATTTGTGCTTTTTAATAGACATGAAGTCCTGCAGTGTGCCAAAATGTAACCAGCAAAGCTATCGTTCCGGCATTAAAATTAAGCGGTCCATGTTTAAAGTGCTAACAAATAAGGAGCGGTTAAAAACATGGCAATGTGCTATAAAAAACATTATTGACACCTTCACATCTTGTATCATTATGTATGATTATTATATAATTAAGCACATCGTGTTGGTGAAATATATATTATTTTAAATAAACAATCAACCCATCCCCGCCAAGACAATAAAAAAATCGGTTATTAATAAATTAGCCAGAATATTGGTTGGTTAGTTTGTTGTGTTACTAGAAATTTTGGTTTTCATATTAGCCAAATTCAATTGGATAGTTTACAAATTATCCAGCTATTCCTAAATATTTTCAAGTAAATTAGCCAAGACCCTTGGTTGGTTTACAAACTAGCTGCTAACTAAATTAGCAGCTAGTTTGTAAACCAACCAAAAATACGTTTTCAATTAAAATAGCTGACAGTTTGGCTAGTTTATAAACTACCCAGCTACTTAATAAACTATCCATGTTTACACATTAGCCGTAACATATATATGATATACGTATGTATTTTATACATTAACATGTTTGGTCTGGGCATGTGACGGCCGAGGACTTTGTGCATAGAGTATAGACTTTGTTGTCCTATTTTGTTAACGTAAATTATCCGAAACAAACTCACAAATATTAATTTTTGAAAATGTAAACAAAACATAGAAAAAGTTAGGTTATGGTTATGCAGTAGTTCCACATTTAACTAAGTAGTAGTTTAATTGACTTTACCCCTTCGATCTTAGCGCCACCTAGCGGCTTGGCACGTTAAGGAAGCCACCTCGAAGCTTAAAGTTGCAAGACCTGTATATAAGACCGTGCTTATAACTTTTGATGACAAGTGACAGATGACAGTTGACAGATGACAGATAACAGGTGACAGATGTGTATTTGCTTAATTTTTATTTAGCTAAATTTATTTTATCTCCACGCGGTCTATAATTTAAACTTTATTGTTGTTAACATTCGATAAAGAAATAACTTGTTATGGCCTAGGCCGATAAAAAATTTTATGAGGCAATTAAGTTCGATTTTTTCTCGCTAGGGGTATTGTTTTGACAAATTAATCCTTTTCTAAGAAATTAACGTACTAAACCGGTTTAATTTATTTATAATAAGCACTAATTTGTTTGTTTTACTGTTAATGTTTATTATTTTTCATTAAATTATTGTAAAATTAAATATGAATAATAAAATAAAAAGTGAGGTTAGGACATTGCAATTTGACGTTTCTGTGGATTTCACAGTTGTGTTTTCTTTTTCTACGATTTAAATTATCTTTAAGTTTTAATTTGCTTTAAGTTTTCAGTGAAATTAAATGTTAAACACAGCGTAAACATTCCAAACTACCTATTTTTTTTAATAAAAATGCAAACAAATTGAAATTAGATACCTATTTATTAAACAATTAATTGAATTCAATGTACCTAATAGCAAGAGGGTAAGTAAACCATTTTCTTACAAAAATCCATTTCTACTTAAATCATGTAGCTAGGTATTGTCAAACTACTGCTTCTAAAAGGAATAATAATTATTGTACATTTAATGTAATCTTTATCTAATAAATAAATGAGATTCTAAAAAAGTGAGGTTGGGCCGCTTTCATGTTGAATTAAATTGACCTATATAAAGTGCTTTGAAGATAAAATGTTGTATGCCATTCGGCCAAGAAGTGTCTTTTTGTGCTTCGCTCAATTGTAGGCCTCCGCTACACGTCGGCCTTCAAACTTTGAGCTTAGCACAAAAAGCCTTACTTCTTAACCTAATGACATAAATAACTATTATTTTCAATTGAAAACATGTTTTCAAAGTTTCAAACCAAAATATCTCAAAAACAAAGCCTCTAATTTTTTTTCTTTCAAATTAGTCGTACAAATATGATGACTTTAATCAGTGGGATAAAAATAGGGGAAAAAAGGGGTGGCACCTCCCATTATCAACGCGTCAATATTGTTTGATAGAGACTTAATTTTGGTAAACTTTGCTAAATTTGAAAATCAGTTGAGTAATCCAAAAATTGTGAGAAAAAAAAACCCATATTTTTGCTATTTGCAGGATTACAGATTTCAATTTTTGCACAATACTACATTTTTCAAATTTACTGACATTTTAAGTTCTGCTTTAAATATCCGTAACATCACACCAGACTTTTGAGTTTCCTGACAATTATGCAATTTGGACCAAACGCATTTTGGAAATGTGCTTCTCAAATGCTTAAATAAATTAAAATGTGAACATCGCAAATTTGAAAAAGATATATAAAAAGTATAGAAGTAGGTTCTTTAAAAAGTTGAAAACTTCTTAAGCAGGTCTAGAAAAAAATCATGATATTGTAAAAAAGTTAAAAAAAAATAGTTAGGTATTTAAGCCTTTAGAAGTGAATCTTTTTGTGCTGAGCTCAAAGTAAAGGACAAACAGACACTTTTTAGCCTCATGGTATACGACATTTTATCTTCAAGGCAATGTTTACAATTACATTTAGGGTTGTGGAATTGACCGGT